TTGCACTAATCCTCCAAAGACTTATTTACTCACCAATTCAATAGACATTTCTTGAACATTCACTATATACTTATTTATTCAACATGCATTTATATATTTATTAAGATACTACATTCCAGAAATGAACCAAAATCAATGGTGGGCAAACAGGAGACAGACTCCACACTCATACCATGAGGGCCTATGAGAGAGAACATTAATCAGATGAGCATACAAATAACTGTAGAATTACAACCTGGGTAAGAACAGAGGTTTATCAGAAGGAGGATTTAGTACAGTTCTGGAGGTTAGGACAGTCTTTCCTAAGGAAGTGATGACTGAGCTAAGATAGGAAAAAAGAGTCATTTTCTAGGAGAAGGAAATTGCACTTTGGTAGGAGGGAGTTTTGTACATCGAGCAACCTTAAAGAAAACCCCTGGAGGGGAGTTTGGCCAAGACGGTGGAGTAGGAAGACCCTGAGCTCACCTCCTCTCACGGCCACACCAAAATTACACTATTTACAAGGATAGTAGAGCAAGGACTGATGAGAAAAACCAGAATCTACCAGAAAAGATCTTCTACAACTAAAGATATAAAGAAGGAACCACAACAAAAGGGGTAGTCGGGACAGAATCATGGTACAATCAAGACCCATACTCCCATGTAGGTGACCCACAAACAGGAGAATAATGAAAATTGCAGAGGTTCTCCCCAAGGACCAAGGGGTCTGGGCCTCACATTGGGACTCCCCAGCCTTAGGGGTTCTGCACTGGGAAGACAAGCCCCAGAATGTTTGGCTTTGAAGGCTAGCACGGCTTACTTTCGCAATAGTCAGAGGGCTGTAAGAAATAGAGACTTCACTCTTAAAGGGCACACACAAAATCTTACACACTCCGGGACCCAAGGCAAAAGCAGTAATATGAAAGGAGCCAGGGTCAGACCTGCTTACTCATCTTGAAGAGCCTCCAAAAGAGGCAGAAGGCAACTGGGACTCATTCTGGGGACATAGATGCTGGCAGCAGCCATTTTGGGGTGCTCATCCCACGGTGAAGCACTGGTGTTGGCAAGTGCGATTTGGGGATCTGTCCTCTAGCTTATTAGAACTGGGACCTGACCCCACCGACCAGCCAGCCAGGCCCAGTCCTGAGACACCCCAGACCAAGTAGCTAGCTGGGTAGAAACACAGCCCCAGCAGACAGCAGGCCAGCTACCATAGGGCCCCTTGAACCCCCAGTCACCCCAGGACACGCCACTGCCCACCAGAGGGGCCAGAACCCAGCCCCACCTGCCAGTAGGCCAGCACTAGCCCTGGTACCACCAAGGCCCTGCAGCCCCACACAATGGGGTATTACTCAGCCACAGAAAAGAATAAAATCTTGTCACTTTCGACAACATGGACGGACCTAGAGGGTATTATGCTAAGTGAAATAAATCAGACAAGACAAATACTTTATGATTTCACTTATACGTGGAATCTAAAAAACAAAACAAATGAACACACAAAACTAAACAGAGGGCTTCCCTGGTGGCGCAGTGGTTGAGAGTCTGCCTGCCGATGCAGGGGACACGGGTTCGTGCCCCGGTCCAGGAAGATCCCACATGCCGCGGAGCGGCTGGGCCCGTGAGCCATGGCCGCTGAGCCTGCGTGCTCCGCAGGCTGTGCTCCGCAGGCTGTGCTCCGCAACGGGAGAGGCCACAACAGTGAGAGGCCCACACGCCGCAAAAAAAAAACAAAAAAAAACTAAACAGAAACAGAGTCATAGGCACAGAGAACGAACAGGTGGCGGTTGCCGGGGGGGTGGGGGTGGTGGTGAAGAGGTGAGGGAGATTAAGAGGTACAAACTTTTAGTTACAAACTAATCAGTCACAGGTATGAAATGTGCAGTGTGAGGAATATAGTCAATAATTATGTAATATCTTTGTACAGTGGCAGACAACAACTAGACTTATCAAGGGGATCATTTTTAAACGTACATAAATATCAACCCACTGTGTTATGTAACAAAAAACTAATACAGTGTTGTAGCTCAATGATACTTCAAAAACAAACTCCTAGGAAAAGAGATTATATTTGTGGTTACCAGAGGCTGGGTGTGGGAAGAGGGTGAACTGGAGGAAGGTAGTCGAAAGGTACAAACTTCCAGTTATAAGACAAATAAGTTCTAGAGATGTAAGGTACAACATGATAAAGATAATTTACATGCTGTACCTGATATACAAAAGCTGTTCAGAGAGTAAATCCTAAGTGTTCTCATTACAAAGAAAACTTTTTTCTATTTCTTTAACCTCGCATCTATATGAGACGATGGACGTTCACTAAACTTACTGTGACAATCATTTCCTTATGTATGTAAGTCAGATCATTATGCTGTACACCCTAAACTTATATAGTGCTGTACGTCAATTATAACTCAATAAAACCAAAAGAAAAAAGAAAGAAAGAAAAAGAAAAGTTATATTTAAAAAAAGAAGGACTTCCCTGGTAGCTCAGTGGTTAAGAATCCGCCTGCCAATGCAGGGAACACGGGTTTGAACCCTGGTCCGGGAAGATCCCACATGCCACGGAGCAACTAAGCCTGTGCGCCACAACTACTGAGCCTACGCTGTAGACCCTGCGAGCCACAACTACTGAGCCCGCATGCCACAACTACTGAAGCCCGCGTGCCTAGAGCCCGTGCTCTGCAATAAGAGAAGCCACCGCAATGAGAAGCCCACACACCGCAATGAGGAGTAGCCCCTGCTCGCCACAACTAGAGAAAGCCCGCACACAGCAACAAAGACCCAACACAGCCAAAAATAAATAAATAAAATAATTAATATATATTTTTAAAAAAGAACTACAGTAGATGAAAAGTATTCTCCATTCCCAAACACCCTGGAATCACTTATCAGAGGTAACTATGGTTATCAAGTTCTTCACACACACACACACACACACACACACACACACACACACAAAGAAGCTGTGTGTCTCTATAAAATCTTTTTCTATATTAAACAAGATAATATTACACACACTAACCAACACATTTTAAACACTAAGCTTTTAAACATTTCCATACTAGTGCCTGCAGAGTTACTTCATTCCTTTTAACAGTTGAAAAGTATTCCACTGTATGATGTAGCTTAATTTAACCACTAACTTACTGTTAGAATTTACTGATTAGGTAATTTTGAGTTGTCTTTGGCTTAAAGAACAGAAATTTACTTTCTCACGTTCTGGAGACTGGAAGTTCAAGATCTAGGTGCCAGCAGGGGTCAGTTTCCCTGAGGCCTCTCTCAGTGGCTTAGGGATGTCTCCTTCTCACTGTGTCCTCATATGGCTTGTCCTCTCTGTGAGGGCATCCCTAGAGTCTCTTCCTCTTCTCACAGGGACACCAGTCTTATTAGATTAGGGCCCCACCTCACTGGCCTCATTTTAACTCAATCACAATTCAGCCCATAACAAAAAGCATTTCACAACATATTAAAATAAGTATCAGCACTTCATTCCTGATTGCCCCCACTCTCAAACAAACAAAAAAAAACTGCTTTAAAATCCTGAAAGTATATTTTCGTAAAGATCCAAAGAAAAATAGAGTAATAATTAGCATTATGTTAGTTTAACACCAAAGAGGGAAAATGAAGGAGTCAGTCAGCACTACCCAGTGTACACGTAAGGGGAGGCAGGGGTGGAGCCTGGACTTGGGAAGGAAATGAAGTGGAAGAAGCAGAAGCGGGATTGCAAGGTTTGAACTTCATTCTTGGCAAAGGTGAGGGTGAGCTGCAGGAAATAAATGACATGTTCTATACAGATAGGCAAGAAATGGAGTTTACCAAAGTATATTTTTACCCAGGAAGAAGTCAAGAAGAGATTTAAAAAATGAAAATACATAAAAGGGAACTCGACAGCAAGATCCTGGAGGAGGTGCTACCTATTTTACAAAGAGAATGGGCTCGAGATCTGGTGAAGGCACTGGCCTTGATAAGCCCCGAGACAGAAGAGAATATGAGTGAAGTGTCCACAACATGTTAAAATCAACGAGGATGTAAGATTAACTGCTACTTTTAATTCATGCTTATAAAAAGACAGTCATGAACCTTTAACAAAAATAGATACATCCGGTAACTTTAGGAACAGTGCGATGATTTACATGTATAACCAGTGTTAGCCCCAAACGGGGGTGGGGGGATTATAAAATAGGGATCTAAAGCCCCCTTCTCCATAATCACTCTCAAGTAGGCACGCGTGTCCCCACCCCTACCTGTTACTCTCTCCCCCTTCAGCAAAACAAAACAAAAACTCCATAAAAGTTAAAACAGCGCATCTGCTGCACAAAGCTGTGCAAAATCCGATTCGCGGCAAACTTAGAACTCTTTAACCTTGATTTTGACCTTCCCACCAGTTTTAGGTAGAAATCCAAGCAGCAGCCACTCTATAGCTTTAGCTGGAATGGACGTGTCTGGTGTTGTAACGGGCACGTTTCCTTCCCAGCAAGCACATCACTGGGCGGCATTTCTGCCTACACTCCTAGACTCAGTTCTCTTGGTGGAGCTCCGTGGACCGCCGAGAATCCCGTCCGGCACGGCGTGCAAGGCCGGTCGCTGGCCACCAAGGGGCAGCCCCTCAACTCAGGAGCCGCCCTGAGGCGGCGACACGACAGCCTGGGTTCTCCGGCGCCGCACCCCCGGACCGGAGGGGAGGGGGCCCAGTTCCACGCGGGGCCCAAGCAGAGCCTCGGCCGTGGGTTACGCTGCTGTTGGGGGATTCTTCGCCCCGAGTCTGCCTTATTGGAGACTTGGCGTGTGCTTTCCTCACCAACTGTGACAGCAACTTTGCGGAGCTCCCTCCCGCTCCCACGCGACTCTCGGAGAGCCCGGGGTAGCCGGTTTCGGCCCGGACACCCGAGGGCCGAGAGGCCCCACCTCCCGGGGGGGGCGGGGCGGCCTGCGAACCCCGCAGCAGCCCGGCCCCGCCCCTGGCGCGGCGGGGAGGAGCCTCCCGGGCACCGCCCCCTCGCCCCGCCCCGCCCCGCAGCTCCTGCCGCGCCGGGACCGCCTGCCGAACCTCGGCTCCGGCCTCCACGCTCTGGCCTGCACCGCGCACCCCGGCCGCCCCAGCGTGAGTTTGCCGATCCGAGCGGGTCCGTAGGGTGGGCCGGGGGCCGAGCACCTGGGGACACGGGTACGCCCCAAGGTGTCAGTTACAGATCCGAGAAGATTCCCGGCAATCGGGGTGTCTGTCTTCTTAGGTTCACGTTCTTGTTTCGTTTCGCCCTTCTTTCCCTATTTGCTGTTTGTCTCAAGACACTTTTCTCCCGCCTCTTTGAATTTGTGAGTCAAGAATTTGACAAAAGATGTGTGATTGTGTGTGGGTGTGATTCTGGGTGCGCGCGCGCGGGCATGTAGTTATGGAGAGTTGTGGGCAAAGTTCTGAGAACATATTACTCATCTCCTGGGTTTTTTGGTGCTTTTCCTGTAAAACTAGGGAGGCCCGGATTCGTGAAAGACCTCCCTTGTCCTGTCAGAGGTGGTTGGCTCGACCTCAGGCTTCCTGATCTCTCGCTGCCTTTTCCTACCCCAAACCCGCAAGCTGAGCTCACTCACCCACGGGCTCCATACTCCAGCTGGGAACTGGTGCTTTTTTGTGAATTCACTTTACTGGGGCAATATTAAGAGGTGGCAGATGGGAACGGCAGTTTAAAACCAAAAAAAAAAAAAAAAAAAAAAAAAGGAGCTGGAACTTTACAAGGAATACAGGGCATGCTCAGGGAGCCAAGCGTACCAGAGATTTGGTGGAGAAAGTGAAGGAAGAAGTCTAAAAAACTGTGGAGAGCCTGTACCCTGGAGGCTTAAAATCCAGGGTGAGCCACTCAGTTTTTACCTGGGGGAGTGGATGAACCTGAGAGATCTGATTAGGAAGACGTGTGAGTAGGATGGCTTGAGGGAGATTGTTGGTGGGAATGTATCCTGGGGACAGAAACCAGATTGGTTTCATCTAGATATGAATGTAAACTGAAGGGACTGATATTTGAGAGACACGTGAAAGAAGATGAACAAAATGAGGTGGCTGACGGTGTACGGAAGCAGGAGGGAGGAAGGACAGAGGCAGATGTAGTGGAAGGGAAGGGTTTGGTGTCTGTCAGTTTAGGTTGTTCCCCAAAGCAAAACCTGATAGAAGGACCTGAGTGCAGGTAGTTTATCTGGGAAGTGAGCCCAGTACTGCACAGTGAAGACATGGGGAGGAAGAGACCAGGAAGGAGGGGAAGCCAGCAAGGAAGGGCTGTCGCTGAGCTGTTTACCGCTGTGGGCACCTGGAACTCAATTCCTTGGGTGACCTTGTGAGGGGCTCCAGAATGCACCTAGGACAGCCCTGTGGCATTTATCCGTGACGCCCTCCCCCGGGTGAAGCTTACCCTGTATCAGCTCACCGCCACTTCAGGGCACCTGCCAGGTGAGAAAGGTTTCCCAGTGCCCAGGAAAGTCCTCCAGGGCAGTTGCTGGAGTCACAGGCGGTCCGGGGCCCCCAGAGCACCTGCTACATGGCTCTTGTCACTTAGGAAGCTAGAAAAGACAGCAGAGGAACAGACACTAGTGTTTTCTCAGTGCTCATTGTACACCTGACACTGGACAAGGCATTTTTATTCGCATTCTCTTCATCTTCAAAAACAATCCTCCAAGGGCTGTACTATTCTCCTTATGTAAATGGAGAGACTAAAGTGTAAGTAATTTATCGAAGAGGAGCTGCTCTGAAGGGAGTAATTAACTCAGTTCTAGGCACACCAAATTTTAAAAGACCTGGTAAACCTCAGGATGCTCCCCAAGTAGAGGCGGGGAGCTCCCTAGTTAGGGCAGATATGATAAATTGGGAGGCGTTTCCAATTCATTTGGTCAAAGCTACCAGAAGAAATTTAGTTTCTGAAAGGTCAACTGACCTTTTCTTCCAGAGAAGAAAATGCTAAGTCAGCTCAGGTCTCACCTTGATCTACCTGCTCCGTGGGATCCAGCCCCGCCCTCACTCCATTCAGGTCCTGCTCCTCCCTGTGTGTTCCTCCAGCCACCCTGGGGCTTCTCACTGCTAAAATGCTCTCTTGCAGCATTTCAGGCCTCAACTTAAATGTCAGGTTTCAGCTTCAAGGTCACTTTTCCCTATAGGCCTCTCCTGTCACCCAATCTAAAGTAATTTTCCGGTTGCTCGATATCACATCATTGTTTTATTTTCATCTAACACTTATTAATTGCTGCATTTTATCTGTTTATCTACCTATCTAATTATTGTCCTTCCCCTTCTCAAATATTAAGCTCGTGAAAGCAGGGACCTTGTCTGTTGTGTTCCTTGCTGCACCCCAGGCCGTGGCACACAGTGGGGGACCTGACAAGTAGTCTTCATCTGAATGCATTTAGTTGTTTTTGTTTTCACTCATTCCTTCATTTGTTCTGACCAAGCTCAGTCTTTGCTTTCTTCTTCTGCAGCTGACTGAACCATGGCCACAACTCCTGCTGCTGCCTTTGAGGCCCTCATGGATGGAGTGACAAGCTGGGATGTCCCTAAAGGCCCCATCCCCAGTGAACTCCTTCTAACTGGAGAGGCTGCCTTCCCGGTGATGGTGAATGATCGGGGCCAGGTCCTCATTGCTGCATCCTCCTATGGCCGAGGCCGCCTTGTGGTTGTGTCCCATGAGGGCTACCTGCTGGACGCCGGCTTGGCCCCATTTCTTCTCAATGCAGTGGGCTGGCTCTGTCCCTCTCCTGGGGCTCCCGTTGGAGTGCACCCATCCCTGGCATTACTAGCAAACATCCTGCAGGGCTCTGGGGTTGAGGCACAGATTCAGCCAGAACCGAGAGAACCCCTGGGGGTTTATTGCATCAATGCCTACAATGACACCATGACTGCAGAGCTGATCCAGTTTGTGAAACGTGGAGGGGGCCTGCTCATGGGGGGCCAAGCCTGGTATTGGGCCAGTCAGCATGGTCATGACAAGGTGCTGTCCAAGTTCCCAGGGAACCAGGTGACCAGTGTGGCTGGTGTGTACTTCACTGATACCTGTGGGGACAGAAGCCGGTTCAAGGTCTCTAAGAAGGTGCCCAAGATCCCTCTCCAGGTCAGGTGAGTGGTGTTTCCCTATGGGGAGTCTGATGTACGTTCACAATAGATTTGATCCCCCTCTTCGGTGAGCTTCCAAATACACATGATTTTCCACTGCTTTTCAGAACCACTACAAATAGAAAATAGGACAATTAAAATGCACTGAAGCCCAAGAGCGGCTGGGTTCTCACTGCCACTCCCACCTGTGGCCAAAGCGACAGTCTAAAACTTGTCTTATTCATCAATCTGTCTAGTGCCTGAGACTTGGAGAGCGTGTGTCAATATCTCTTAAAGGAATGGAAAAGCATTTGTTTCTTTGTGTGAGGCACATACCATGTGCCAGGCCCCATGCAGAAGACCCTTGCTGTCTTGACACTTATATTCCAGTGGAAAATTAGGCAACTAAGGAAACAAATAGATACATACTCTAGCAGGTATTGATAAGAGCTACAAGGAAAGTAAAGCAGGATAAGTGATAAAGTGACCGCGAGGGGAGTGGAGAATGTTTTAGTTAGGGTCATCAGGGAAGGCTTATCAATCAGGCCTGGTCAGCATTAACTGGTGTTTCAAACAGAAGGGATTTAATATGGGTAGCTGACTAAGCAGGTGACATAGCTGAAAGCTGCACAGGAGGCAGCGAGGTAGCCAGGAGATGAGCAGCAGCAGGACTGGCAGAGGCAGTGGTGGTCCAGCAGCCCAGGGGCTGCAGCCACCTGGTGGAGGCCTGTCCAGCAGGAGCCGGGACCCCAGATGCGGGGGCTGTCTGATGGGACCTGGAGCCTAAGAGAAGACGCAGTGATGGCCAGAGACACAGCCTGAGAGAGACACATACCTCCGCTCCTTCCTCCTTCCTGCCCTCGGGCTTGGCTGATGGACTGAATGTGGAGTGAGGGGGGGAAAAGAGACGTCAAGCATTTTGGTGGTCGAATGACTTAAAGGTGAGTGTTGGGGCTTCCCTGCTGGCGCAGTGTTTGAGAGTCCGCCTGCCGATGCAGGGGACGCGGGTTCGTGTCCCGCTCCGGGAAGATCCCACATGCCACAGAGCGGCTGGGCCCGTGAGCCATGGCCGCTGAGCCTGCGCGTCTGGAGCCTGTGCTCCGCAGCGGGAGAGGCCACAGCAGTGAGAGGCCCGCTTATCGCAAAAAAAAAGGTGAGTGTGTTGCCACGTAAGGAGCTGTGAAAGTCTATGAGAAGACGGATTAGAGGAGGTCTGGAGTTTAGTTTTGGATATCTGGGGTTCTAGGTAACTTGTTATCAGTGACTCACTGTGCTTGGCCACATGTAACAGAAGCCTTATCATAGTGGACTGACCACGTAGGAGTTTATTTTTCTCATGTAACAAAGTCTGGGCAAGATAATCAGGCCTGGGGCACTGAGTCCCTGCTTCATGATGACCAGGTTCGTTCATGCAGATCCATTCTCTCCCTCTCTCGCTCCCTTCCTCCCTCGCCCTCCATCTCTCTCTTGCTCTCTCCCCACCCCCGTGGCCCCCACCCCTCCCATCACAATGTTTCACTTTTATCTTTATGGTTACAAGATTGGTACTACTGCTTCAGGCACTATAATTACACCTCTGCAAGAATAAGCTAGAATGAATACACCTGAATATGTCCCTTCTAATGCAGAAAATAATATATTTTCTGGGAGCCCTGACCATTAGGCTTCTATTATATTTCAGTGGCCAAAATTAGCTCACCTGGCCAACTCTAGCTGCCAGAGGGTCTGAAGGGCCGAATATTTTTAAATGCGCCCTGGCATCTCTGAAGAAATCAAGACTCTGCTACAAGGAAGGGCGTACACATATTTAGTATGCATTTAGCAGTGTCCTCAGCCCCAAGTCCTGGCTCCCTTGGTCTTCCTTCCCTCTGAGAGGGTTGGGAGGTGATGAGTTACTCAGAGAGGCAGGGTGGATCTGATTCACTCCAACTTCTCTTTAATTCGAAGGGACAAACAAGGTTAAATCCCATCAACCTAACTGCTCTTAATTGTTCCAAAGGACTCCTGTCCATCAAACTAAACCTGTTTTTCTTCATCCATGCCTGCATTTTTCATCTCTGCCACTGAATCTGAAGTATATTTTATGTTTGTTTTAACCTTTAATTATGGAAAAGTTCAGAGATATGCAAAAGTAGACAGAACAGTACAAAGAGCCCCCATGCAGCCATTACCCAAGCTCAGTAACAGCCAACTCAGTCAATCTAATTTTATCTATAGCCACACCCCCGCTTCACCCCAGATTATTTTGAAGCAAATCACAGACATCATATCATTCCATCTGTTTTTTAATATGTATCCCTAACGATGTAAATCGTTTTGAAAACATAACCACAAGGCACCATTATCATACCCAAAAGTAGTAATACTCTTAATGTCATTATTCGTTTCCATAACTGTCTTATTTTTTCAGTTTGTTGGAATTGGTCTTTTATTAAAACCCAAATATTTTGATTGCTTGATATGAATTTTATGTCTCATATAATGTTGTTTCTTTTCCAATTCTTTTTATCTCTTGCTGTTTTGTTGAAGAAACTAGGTACTTTGTCATGAAGTTTCCCCACGGTACAGAATGTGTTTCCTTCAAAACAATCTGAGTTTTGCTGATTGAACCCCTGTGGTGTCATTAAATGTATTCCTCTGTTCTCTATATTTCTTGTAAATTGGAAGTTAGATCTGGATTCTACAGCAGGGATTGGCAAACTATCGCCTGTGGGCCAGCCCCCTGTTTACATAAATAAAGTTTTATTGGAACACAGCGGTGTCCATATTGTCTGTGGTTGTTTGCACAGGCTCCGGATGTGCAGGTTCAGCGGCCATGGCTCACGGGCCCAGCCGCTCCGCGGCATGTGGGATCCTCCCGGACCGGGGCACGAACCCGTGTCCCCTGCATCGGCAGGCGGACTCCCAACCACTGCGCCACCTGTGGTTGTTTTTGAGTTACAGTGGCAGAGTTGAGTTGTGTCAGTGGAAAACATGTGGCCCACAAGCCTAAAATATTTATTATTGGGCTGCTAAGAAAAAGTTTCCCACCTCCTGGTTGAGAGGCTTGATCAGATTCATGTTCGAATTTTATATAAGTCAGTGCGTGACCGCACTGGCCAATGGCTTGATCCTTGTAGAACTGGGATGGCAGGCAACATTTTTTCCTTACAGTTTGTCTTACAAAATATCAGATATTTGGAAATTCAGTTAATCGAAAAAATTGCACTGGTAGCTCCGGCAAAGCTGTATGTAAGACTTGGTTTTCAAATTTCTCTTCCTATTCTGGATCTTCCTTCAGCTCCTGAAAAGCCAATTTATTTTCCTTATTCAGTTTCAGCTCAAACACCCTCCTCAGGGGAGTCTTCCTCAATGACTCTCTTGAAACTAAGACTAAACTTCCAGTTTCACTTTTCTCCATCTCTTGCCTGAACATCAGTGATCACAATCTGTAAATACCCAACATGTGTGCTTGCTGGTACCTGTCTAGCCAACCAAAGACTAAAGTTCCACGGATGCACTGATCTTGCCTGTCATGTGTGCTGCGTTATTCTCAGTGCCTGATGTGTGAAACATGGTAGAGAGAAACAGGTATTTGTAGACTTTGTAAAGTAATGAATAAATACATGAACGAATACACATCCTAAACCACGAGAAAGGAAAGGGTGGCCTGGGTACCAGGGTTGAGCCTACAGACAGCTTCATGTCATAGAATGTGCTGTGTCTCAGGCTTCCAGCCTCAGCCCAAAACTGAGCTGGAGTTGACTGACCCCATCAACTCTAAAGTCTTAAAAGGCCTGTATGGTGCCCAGGCCCTCAGCTCAGATTCCTGCCGCCTTCACGCATGTCTCCTTTGAGGTTTTCAGTGAACTTTCCTGCCAACAAATCTTGGTCAATGGCTCCTGGGCTGACCGAACAGGTTTGCTGACTTTAAATTGCTGCAGGAGGCTCTGGAGCTCCTTAAGGGAACTGCCCTGTCTGCCCAGGGGAGGAGCAGTCTCATAAAACCAACAAAAGATCCTCTCAAGGGTCCTATCCCCCAGGGCAAAAGCTGCCTGCACACCTAGCTTTACACACCTGAGGAGGTCCTGCCTGTACTTTAACGTGCAAAGCCAGACCCAAAGGCATTTGCTGCTTTTATACCAAGACACAGGAGAGTCTGGGGAAAAATTAATCTCAGATCAACAGCTCATTACTCTTACACATGGCATAACCTACAAGGTCTAGAGTGTATTAGGAGCTGCTCATATAAAAGTAAATACAAACTAGTAGCTTAGGTTTATGCCTCTCTTAAAGATTATGTGTTATCTCTCTTGATCATCACCACATTCCCATAGAGTGCAAAGGTCTTTGTCTGAGGACTCTCAGCTTGTAAGCAGCACTGTTCTGTTTTCATATTCAAGATCCATAAATGTAGAGAGTTTCCAGGTAAAGGTAGTGTGAAATGAGCCTAGACCCCAGAATTGCCCTCTCCACCAAATCTGACCAAGTGAATGAAAAATAGTAAGCAAACAACTAAATGTGGGGGTTCTGATGCTGATCCCACGTACTGCTAAAGCACTGTTGGTGGGAGTGCCAGGTGACTGATGTGTGGCCAGGTGTGCAGCATCTCCTGAGACTGTACCTACCCACGATGCACAACCACAGGAAAAAGTTGAAACAAATCCAAGAAGTATCACTGATGCCTTCTCATGTTGTAGAAGAATGAACAAATTGGGTGAGTAGACACTTAAGGGAAAAAACCCTCAAATGTAAAAGCAGCAAAGCTCCTTCAGAATTTGGTGGAGGCAGAAAGGGATGCTGGAGTTTGCCATCTTCCAAAGACAATGGTGGGTTGAACACCTCCAGTGCATTCCATGCCTGGCTGGGTGGAGTAGGCCTTGCTTTAGGTCCCTAAAGAGGGGAGGGACACGCCCCCAGTAAGGACAGCAACAGGCCCCAGCTGATCTTTGCCCTTCAGTTAGAGATACAGACGTTAAGCAATAAGAAAGTGGAAGGAAGCATTATACAGACCCCAATATAATTTGAGAAGGTGGTGGATGTGGTACGTGGCTACAAACTGGTCTGGGGTAACTTAGAAAGAATATCAAGAGGACCTCACCCACACGATATCAGAACATGCAAAAGATCTGCTCATGCCCATGGTGAAAAAAA